TAGTCAGACCAAGAACTAGGTCCCAATCTCTTCGGGATCAATATGATGGAGGTTGACGTGAAGGATTCTGGCATCTGGTGGCCAGAGAAAAAATCTCTCACAGCTTCCTCTATGTCAGTACCCACAATCTCCCAGCAAGACTGGAAGAAGAGGGACGAAAAACCATCCGGTCCGGAGATGCTGTTGGGATTTATCCCAAACACATCCTTCCTGACTTCTTCCTTACTCGGGATGTCACAGAGGTCAACAAGATCGACCGACTGCGGGATGGTCGGAAAGAGGGCCGGGTCGGGGTGTGTAAGCAAATCCCGCTCAGAGGAAAAGAGAGAGTGGAAGTAAGCCCTAGCCGACTCCCGTATCTGGGACTCCTGGGTCACGGATGACCCGTTATCCTCGACACTATGGATATACGACTTGACTCGCTTCTGCCTCACGAATCCCTGGAAGAACTTGGTATTACGCTCCCCCTCAGCCACCCAGCGCACAGCAGCCTTCTGCTTCCAGAAATCTTCCTCCATGAGGAGGCGCAACTGGTACTCAGCATGGCAGCGACGCATCTCGGACCTATTCTCTGGCGAAAAATCTAAATCATAGGTCCGTTCCGCCTCCGCATACGCAGTCTGAGCTGCAGTAAGGCGCTGGGAATTGTTACCAAAAATCGTCCAGTTCCACTGCTTCAAACCACGGCGGAGTCTCATGAGCTTTTCCTCCAGGTTGCGCATCCCATAGAGACACGTAGCCTGCTGCCAGGAGGCTCTAACAGTATCGTAGTAAGAATGGTGGTGGACCCACATGTTCTAGAAGCGGAAGGACACTCGCCGAGGGAAAATAGAGAACCGACAACGTATCAGAAGGGGGGCATGGTCAGATCTAATTCGAGGAAGGTGCGTTACAACCGTGGTCGCAAACAACCTCGTCCGCGCCTCTGAGTAGAGAGCGCGGTCGAGCCTCTCCTTGACTCCGACCCTCTCCCACGTAAAGGGAGCCCCTTCGTAACCAGCGTCGATGAGCTCACATTCTGATACAGCATGCGAGAAATCTAAGATCTCCATAGAGCGGTCCGATACACCACCAATGCGTTCATCGGGATGCAAGAATATGTTGAAATCACCACTAATCATCCACGGTAATCCCTCCATACTCTCAGCAATCTCACGCATGGTGTCCCAGAGGTCATAGCGACCAACCCTCGCACAGCTGGCATAAACCAAGGTGTGGAAGATCGGCTCCAGAAGATGGGCGGCAGTGAGCTTCATGTGCAAGACTTGATCAGTATCTCGAAGGATCTGACAAGCAAAGTCACGCAAGTGGAAAAACCAAATCTTGTTAGAGGTGTTTCTCATCCCGGCATGAAAACCAAGGCGTAGCGAATATACGTCAAAAGAAGGGTCACGAGTCATAGGCTCTAAGAAAGCCGCAAAGTCAAGGTTATGCTCATCAATGAGAGATCTAACATGAGCAAGGGTGATCCTATTAGCCAGACCAAGGGCATTCCATGTAAGCGATATGACTGACATGTCAAACGTCAGTGGGACCGTCTAACTGGAGCTGTTTGTGGTTAAGCTGTGTCTTTATGTCTGGTAGGGTCAGAGGTCGGCTAGTAGAGAGCTGCGCAGTCATCGATCTGGTCTGTGGTCTCCGGTGCTCTGGGATCTCCTGGAAAGGTCCCCCTCGTATAGGGGGAAACTCCTCGGGTAAGAGGATGAGCTGTAGGTGCTCCAATCCCTTGGAGCTCTTCTCCTTTCCCTGTGGGGAAGACGGATCAGACCCGCTAGCGGGGGATGAGGGGGAAGTGGAAGAGAGGGTCAGCAGGGGTCGAGCTAGTGGGCAAGGGAGTGAGGTAAGGTGGGGGGAGGGCTCTACGATCATGAGAGCTGAGGAGAAAGGGGGAGCCTCGATACACAATGGGATGGCGGGAGACTTTATCTCATCCATTAATAGATCATCATCATAAAAAGGGGAGTTGGTCGATGCTCCTAGATGGTTGGAGGAAATGTGGAACTCCTCATCCGACTACGAGTCAAGCACAGAGAAGCGGGAATGGGTAGCTATGGGAGCTGACTGGAGGGACTGGTGGGGGAAAAGGCCTGTAGCTTTGGCCTTAGGCCTATCGAGGTTAACCTCCTTGGGCAGTGTGCCCTCAAAAGTGACCTTGCCCTTGCCCTTTTGCCCCTTCGGGTCGGGGCCGTGGGCTGTGGATGTGCCATTGACCGCGTCTCGAAAAGAACGTGCTTCGGTTGGCCGGTGGCCCTGGTTCACCGGTTGGGGAAGATGAATGGTCGAGCTCGGCTCTTGGCCCGAGCTTCCCCTTGGCGGTCGTTCACTATGAGCCGTTTCCGGCGGAGAGGTGGTTATATAGTCGGAGTTGGTCGATGAGAGGTGACCCAGTTCTACCGAAGAGGAGGCTTGGCTGTGCTTGAGAGAATCTGTTGCATTCAACGGAGGGAGAGCTTTGCTTGCCTGAGTATTGCATTCAACTAAATATGCATCATGAATGAACTAAATATGCATTATGAAATACATATGAATTTCTTATTTTCAATTAAGTAATCATTATTTATAACTAAAAAATGCATGGCGTATTGTCTAAATATGCACAAAACATAAGTTAAATTTGCATTTTGTATGAACTAAATATGCACCATTAATAAGCTAAATATGCATTACAAAATAATTATACATTTTTTATTCTCAATTAACAATGCATTATTTATAACTAAAATATGCTTTGTATATTGTCGAAATTGCACAAGAACCACACTAAATAAGCATTAATGTTATAATATAAAAATTCAATCCCAAATCTGAAAATTGTTCACTCACGCTCGGCCACGGCGGAGACGAAGGCCTGGAAGAACCGCGTGGAAAATCTCTCCCTTAAAGATGATGGGAGCCACGACTGGAAACCGCCTCGTTGCTCGCCTCCGTCCACAACTGGAAGCCGCTACCGACAATCTCGTCTCTTCCCGGAGTGCGATGTTCCACGCCGGTCTGCCACATATTATGGACTTTTCCACTTGTTCTAGAATTTTCGATGCTTCCTCTTATCGGATTTGGGTTGCCAGAGGGGGAAACTGCTGGTGGATCTGGGCTGAATAAATTGTCCAGTTCTGGCCAACACCTCTTCTCAAAATGAAGGAAAACATGAAACGGACTAAAAACTAAAGAAACAACCTAAATCAAGGAAAAAAGAAAGATAAAATAAACACAAAAAAACGCAACAAAAATGAGACAAATCTATATGATTTATTATTTATATTATAAAAATATTTTTCAACGTTTAAATTTAATATTTTATATTTAGTTTTAGATTTAATTGTAGAGTGTTGATAAAGTGCAACGTGTTATTTTATAAAGTTCGACATGTTGTTTTACAAAGTACAGCACTACGCTACATAAAGTGCACTATACTATAATTTCCCATATAAATTATGTGTATTTAAGAATTATTTTTAATAGATATAATTGTAAATCGAATTAATCTAAATAATTAAAATATCTGTGTAGTTATCTTTTTTATTATATAATTTATTTGTTATTATAAATTAATTTTTAATTATTTTATTTTTTATATTATTTTTATTTTTATTAATTTTATTTGTTATTTAATATATGTCCATAACAAAACATATAATAAATAATTTTTTATTAACCTTTAACAATTACATATTTGGCCCATGAGTAAAATTGAAATATAATCAAAATAATTAAAATTGAAAATAGGTCCTTAGACATAATCAAATTCTCAAAAAAGAGGCCCAATTTCAAAGATCAATTTCACAATTATTGCTGAAAGTCGGAAACTTTTCGGTCGGAGGAGATGCCATTTAAAATTCGAAATGATGGATGTGGGCAGAGGTGCGGCTCGGAGGAGGGTGGATGTGCGGATGTGGGCGGAACTCATGTGGAGGTTCGGTTGGAATTTCTGTCATGCTCGTCGCTGAGGGTGGCGGAGGTGGCTGGCGGGACAATGAAGACGGCCATTGACAGTGGTTGGATGAGTGCGGCGGCGGTGTAGGCGGTGGCCGGCGGAATTGACGGGCCGGGACTGTGTGTATTGTGTGCGTAGAGTGTGAGTATGTGTCGTGTGTGTGTGTGTGTATACATTGCGTGTGTGTATACATTGCGTGTGTGAGAGTCATGTGTTAGTGTGTGAGTGTGTGCGCAGGGGCAGTATGTGTGAGTGTGTGATAAAAGAAGCAGAGTGAGAGAGAGATGTGCAGTGGGTGAATTTGTCAAGTGCGTATGTGACAGGTTGAAATAGATGGTGGGTAGGTGGCGGGTGGTAGTGGGACCTGATGGTGGATGGGGTAGTTGTGAAAATGTCCATAAGGTATAATTTTGGCTTTTATTTTAGCCATTAGATCATCCGATCTAATGATTACGATTTATTCTTATTTCTGTCATTAAGCACCATTCTCACCTGAAACCAACCGTGTATATATATATATATATATATATATACACGCACACACAGACACACACACACACACACACACACATACGGTTTATATATGTCGATTCGGTGTTCGTTCTTTATTTTTAAAAGTTGGGTATTTCGATTCGATCTCATTTTTTTTAATAATCAACCAACCGACATACATAAAAAATAATATTGTCTATATTTATATTATAACTTTTCAACCAAAAAAAAAAAAGAATTATAGAAATATTAAAATACTAAATATATTTTTATGATATAATTTATATATTGTTTCGCTTATTTAGATTAATTTGGTTAATCGTACTAATAAAACGATTATTTCAGTCGTGTTTTAAGTTATTTTGGACAAGTCATTAAAAAATAATGCAATGCGATTGCACATTACCGTATTACGAG